TCATATCATACAGATGACATGTAAAGGATGTAAGAGGTATAAGATAGCTTAAAAAAAAATTTGTTGGTTAAATGTCTCCATCAATTTGCAACATCTATTCTTAAAACAATGAAGAAATGGGATTTGATTTCCCCCTGAGCTTTTGCCAAGTAACAACACTCTCAATTCCCTGCCCATGAGATCCCAGGCCAAATTCCGACAGGCTTTTCAAGTCAGAGTTTGGCTTTGTCTTCAGAACGAAGAAGAACTTCCCCATGGAAGGCTGGAAGAGAAGGACAGTTTTAAATCTCTGGTGTCTTCTAAAAAAGTGCCTCATAGATCTTATCTCCTTGCGTTGCAAACCTTTCCTCTAGTCTCTAATGGGTGTCAAAAGGATACCAGGGATTGTGGAAAGTGGCCACGGGCTGGGGAAAGCGCCTTGCCCAGGAGGAACGCCCGGGCGTCATCTGACCCGCCTGCCCCCAGTGAAATCCCAGGGGTACGTCTCTGTCTACTTGACGCCACTTCTTTCCAAGTCTGCACCTTTTCATTCTCTCCCACTCTTTGGTATAAGCCAGCTCATTTCAATTCTCTCCTCCTCCTCCCACACCTGTTGAATACTCTCCCCAAAGCACACATTTTAAAGAATGCTTATCTCTTCTCTCTTCCATTCCCATTCAGTGTCACCTTCCAGGTTACCTTGAGTACCATCGAAGGGACCCTGCTAACTCGGTGGCTGCCTTGCTGCTAAACTGCAATGCATCTGAGTCTCCAACTGTCAGGGAAGTCTCAGCCGCCGCCACTGTTGGTCCAGGAAGACAGCACAGGGGTCTACGTCCATCCTTCAGAACAATTAAACTAGCAAGTGAGACAAATGGCGAACTGTAGGCAGCAGCATCTTACTAAAATAACAATGTCCTTTCCTTTTGCTCCGCTCTAGCCCCCAACTCCACCGGCAAGCAAGGAAAGGAATAAACAAACATAAAACACAAACCACACAGGGCAGCCCTCGGGGCCTTCGCAAACATTCGTATCTTTGCATCAGAAAATACCCTAAGAAGGTCTGAGAAGGAATTACAAGGAGGAAAAAGCAGGAAGGTAACGAATGTCATTTACACGGAGCTACTTCCACACCTCTCAACTCTGCCCTGCTTAACCTTCATTTTAAGTAAACCAAGCTAGGGTCTCTGGGGATTTCACAATAGTATTTATTATTATCTTTCAAAACTCCTCTGGCAACCTTTTCGCTTTTTGGTGGAATCCATTTACATGATTGAACCTCAGGCACGCTAGAAATAGGGAAAGCCCACTCCCCACCCGCCAGAAGGACAAACGGGCTCTGTCCCATGCCCTTATACGGCCAGGCTTCCTATAAGTCTGACAGCTCGGTGTGTGCCTTGCGTATGGCTCTTGGTTCAGACTCACATTCCTCTGCTATGTTTCCCTGGGAGCTTTGATTTCTGCTTTGAGGGCTGGCACTGGCTTCTGCTTGCTCTTATAAGAAAATGTCTACAACTAAAAGTTGAAAATGTGCAAGATTCCTTCTTTGACACAAACACTACAAGTCTGGCCGCTTTCCTGTAGTCCTGCCAGAGTTTCTGTCTGATACCTGATCAAGGAACCTTTTCTGAGGGGGAAAAAACAACAAAGAACACGAGGGAAAGAATGTACACACCCACGGCCGAACATCTTACAGGACTTCACCAAATGGCCTTCGGAGACCGTGCCCGGGAGACACGCACAGTCCCTATCTAGCTTGGGAAATGACTCCACGGCCAGCGTCGCCAACTCCTATTTTACCAGGCAAGCGCGCTTCTAGCTAAACACTTGCCTACAAGTCCCAAGGAGTGCACCTTTACCTTCTTGGGCACAAATTCAAAGAACTTCTCTCTGGATTCTGACCTGCTGTCACCCAAAGGGTTGGGTTAAGTCAGAGTTGGACAAAGTTATAAGAAGCCACTATTTCCACTTTAACACCCAGGTGGACACAAACATTTGCTGAGTCATTTATAATACTGCAAGAATTCATATGCCGGGGCATGAACTGAGGACAGTGTCAGCCTTTCCTCTGAATTTCCTGGCACTTGATGGTGTGTATCACAATAAAAACATACTTTCGAGTCTATGAATGTCTTAGGTGTCTTCTCTCATTCTTTCTGTGTGTGTGTGTGTGTCTGTCTGTCTGTCTGTCTGTCTGTCTCTGTGACTCTCTTAATAATGATCTTTTAACTCTTTCAAAGGGGTTTTGGTCATAAAGCCTGAACCCAAGTTTAAAATGCACAGCATACTTTATCTCTATTGTGAGATTTCATGTGTTCTGTACACTTCAAAGTGCTTGTTTGCTTTCAGCCAATCTTAAAAAAACCATCCCTTTGGAGCTAACTATGAACTTACTGAGATTGGAGAGACCATGTGAACTTTCTAGTGCAGCCAAATTCTTTTTATAATGTCAGAACATTTTTAATACTATCACAGAAGGGTAATATTGTCGCGTGCGTCGAGAGAGGAGAGAGAAAGGTAAGAAAGCTGAAGTACAAATTCCCTGAGAAGTTCAATCTACTTAACCCTCACTGAACCCTATGAAATCCCTAGTGTCTTCCTTTTATAAATGGCAACCTGAGAGGATGGCCCCTACTTCTAACTTCCCTGAGATCTGTGAATAGCAGTTCTAAGAACATAACTCCTGCTACCCAACTATAACCTGGGGCCAGCAACTTCTCCTCTTCATGAATGGGTCTCCCCATGGTGTGCACAAACCCGTTGGTGGTGGCTGTCAGACTCTCCTGAGGTTTCCGAAGTCCCCACCGCTGGCCATGCCATGTCCCTCACACTGCAGGCTGCAGAGCTCACCACTGAGCCAACGTCCCACCTTAGGTAAGGCTCCTGCTTTCTGTCCCTCCCCTGCCCCATCCACCCCACCTTCCCAACCATTAGTGGTAGCTATAATTGGAGGTTTAGGTCTTGAAAGATCTCACTGTGGCTTCCCACATATTTTCGGCTTTTAAAAACCATCCACAGGGGAAGAGAAGGTTGGGGCCAAGTTGCCTTTAATACACATGTGGCTATTAACATGACTTGGAATGTTCCTTCTTTAAATAGGAACTAATGGCCTCCTCTCCTGGAGGAATGCTTGGAAAGAACATTAAATAACAATGAGGAAAATTCTTCCTAGGCTTCGGAGGCCCTTCACTGGCCATTCACACTGGCAATTGCACTGTGAGACATGTGGCTTGCTTAGTGAAGTAACTGTGCACAGATGATGCGGTTGGTGCTGAAGTTTTGTGGGGGTTTTTTTCTTGGCCATTTTCCAATAGGATGAACTGAAACCTTAAAAATGTTGGCCAGTTTAAACAGGCTACTTCCAAGTTATAAGTCTATAATGTGTTGTCTCCTCGCTCTGTCTTCCCACCAGAATCACATAAGCTTGCCTTTCAGCATAGATTGTGAAGCATCAACAACTGAAAGGAACACATTCACTGTGGCACCAGTCAACTGAGAAGGCAGAGGGGCATGGCCCTGGAATCCGGCCTTACTATAAAATGGTAACTGGTGCTATTAACAAACAAAGGCGCCAAATGAGTGCACAGCTAATTAATTGGTCCCCCCACCCCCAGAAGCCAAGTAGCAATATAAAGACCTGGAGATACTATCAGGTTTACCTGTCCCATGGGACATCCGCACACAGCAGGGGGCAGAGCCCATTCTCCTGATTTCAGTCCACACGCTTTGGGTCATCAGAGGTCACAATTACTATTGAGCTGTGTGTGAGGAGTCACTCAGAAGATATTATTCCCTGACATTTGATAACCAGACACAACCAGGGTACACTGTGCTTCTTATATAATCTTTCCTTCTTTTTTTTTCTTCAAGACAAACCAAGTCCAATCCACATTTGAAGATTACAGGTTTTGGTATAAGTAGAATCACTCAAAGACCTCAGCACAGCTGTGTTTAAAACACCCCAACTGAACCCCAAGCTTCTGACTGGACCCCCCTCCTCCCACCCCACGACCCATCCTGACGCCCACAGCTTGTACCTAGACAGGACACTCATTTGCTCTGACACTGGTAACAGACCCATTTTTCCAGAAACACTGATGGCCACTAACCCCTTCCCTCCGTGCACCTCCAACATCACAAATGCCCCCATGCACTAAGAGAAAGCAAAGCAGCAGCACTGCAAATCTACCCAGGGACCCGGACCCCTACCCAGACCCAGGCTTTGTTCCCTTTCTTGTCTGACTGTAGGGCACCAAACCAAACCGCTATCTCAAAGGACAAAGGATCAAATTCCTCTACTTCAGATACAGCATTCAAGATTTTCCAGGTAGGCATCTGGGGATTTCTAATGGTTCCAAGCAACTTCCTGCTGCTTTTTGTAGAGTTTCAAGACTCTAGAGCCCCTTAGACAAAAATCACTACAAAAACAATAGAAAGGCAACCCTTTAGAATTTTTTAGGAATCCCCGATTGCCTCTTCAGCTACCCACCTCCTAAAAATGACTTATGCCAGAACAGGGCTAAACTATTAAAGAGAGAAAAGACAGAAAAAAAAATAATAATTGCCAGTGGGATTTTACACGACAGAAATTACAAGTGGCGAGAAGTAGAAGCGCATAGGAAAAACTCCTGTTTGACGCTGGAAACACTGCGCCTCTTTTTTATTTTATTTTATTTTTTTTCTGGGGAGCTGGAGTGTGCCAGCTTTTTCAGACGGAGGAATGCTGAGTGTCAAGGGGTCAGGATCAATCCGGTGTGAGTTGATAGAGCAGGAAGGTGGGGAGGAATGCGAAGAATGTCCCTGTTTGTGTGGGAGTCCATTCAGCTCATTGGCGCGCCGGCCGCCGGCAGCGCATAAAAGGCCGGGCGCGCGCCGCAGCCCGCACAGCCGCTCGTCCCCGCTCCAAAGAGGTTGCAGCGCCACCCCACCGCCGGCGACAGACCGCCTCCCGCCCCAGCGACGGCAGCCGCCCCGGCCGACAGCCCCGAGACCCCGGCGGCCCAGCGCGCCCAGGCACCCACCTCGCGCCCCTCGCCCTTCGCCCGCCGCCCACCATGTCCGCCGCCGCCGCCGTCGCGCTCCTCCTCGCGCTCTGCAGCCAGGTAAGCGCCAGGCAGGGCACGGCCGGACCGGGAGGGCGGAGGAGGGCCCTACGCCCCGCCGCCGGGAGCTGACTCGCGCCGCTCTCCGCAGCTCGCCTCCGGCCAGGACTGCAGCGCGCAGTGCGCCCAATGCGCGTCCGACCCTGCGCCGCGCTGCCCGCTCGGCGTGAGCCTCGTGCTCGACGGCTGCGGCTGCTGCCGCGTCTGCGCCAAGCAGCTGGGCGAGCTGTGCACGCAGCTCCACCCCTGCGACCCGCACAAGGGCCTCTCCTGCGACTTCGGCTCCGCGTCCAGCCGCAACATCGGCGTATGCACCGGTAAGAGCCGCGGCGGCGCCCGCCCGCCACCCTGGCGGTCCCCTGACCCACACCCGGCTGCTGGAGAAAGGAGCCGCTCTCGGTCCTCGCCCGCAGCCCGCCCCCTGCAGCCCCGACCGCTTCCAGCCTAACCCGTGTGCTTCCCCTTCCCCCTGCAGCCCAAGGGGGCGCCCCCTGCGTGTTCGGCGGGAAGGTGTACCGCAGCGGAGACACCTTCGACAGCAGCTGCAAGTACCAGTGCACGTGCCTGGACGGGGCGGTGGGCTGCGTGCCCCTGTGCAGCATGGATGTGCGCCTGCCCAGCCCCGACTGCCCCTTCCCCAGAAGGGTCAAGCTGCCCGGCAAGTGCTGCGAGGAGTGGGTGTGCGACCAGCCCAAGGACAGCACCGCGGTGGGCCCTGCCCTGGCCGGTGAGTGGCCTGGGTCTCCAAGCCCGCGTTGTCACCCTCCCACAGGCTGAGCCCCGAGCGAGCCGGGCAGGTGCCAGCGGAAGTTGTCTTATCCGGGCGTCTTACCTTGTGTCTGTGTGCTCTGCCCTCTCAGCCTACCGCCTGGAAGACACATTTGGCCCAGACCCAACGATGATGCGAGCCAACTGCCTGGTCCAGACCACAGAGTGGAGCGCCTGTTCCAAGACCTGCGGAATGGGCCTCTCCACCCGGGTCACCAATGACAACGCCTACTGCAGGCTGGAGAAGCAGAGCCGCCTGTGCATGGTCAGGCCCTGCGAAGCCGACCTGGAGGAGAACATTAAGGTTGGTGTCGTTCTCTTGTGAACTCATTTTCTTGGAATGCTAATGAAAAGGACCAAAGTTAGTTCTTTTGCCACCCTTGTTATTAAAAACCTGTTATCTCCCAAAATATCTAATGGTGGAGCTGCTTTGCCGGAATAAGAGGTGGTGTAATAGGAACCACCCATTTCCCTCCACAGCTAGTTAATTCAGGACATTCCAGGAGAGGCCATGACTATTTTTGGAAAACTGACAAATGAAACTCAAGGCTGCCTGATTTGTTTATATTTTAAGTGTTAGAACATAGACTGTTAAGGAAAGCCACTCCCCCTTGTAGTAATTGGTGCCTCTCTTCTTCCTTGTCTTCCTTAGAAGGGCAAAAAGTGCATCCGTACCCCAAAAATCTCCAAGCCTGTCAAGTTTGAGCTGTCCGGCTGCACCAGCGTAAAGACATACCGGGCTAAGTTCTGCGGAGTGTGCACAGACGGCAGGTGCTGCACCCCACACAGAACCACCACCCTGCCCGTGGAGTTCAAGTGTCCGGATGGTGACATCATGAAGAAGAGCATGATGTTCATCAAGACCTGCGCCTGCCACTACAACTGTCCTGGAGACAACGACATCTTTGAGTCCCTGTACTACAAGAAGATGTATGGAGACATGGCCTAAAGCCAGAGAGTGAGAGACAGTAACTCCATTAACTCGTTAGTCTGTAACTTGAACTCATTCACATCTCATTTTTATGTAAAAATGCATTCAGTAGCACATGTTAATTTAAACGTGTTTTCTAGCTGGGGGGCTGAGAAGATTCCCCCCTAATTCAAAACATTGTGCCATGTCTTACAAATAGTCTACCAACCCCAGACACTGGTTTGAAGAAAGTTAAGACTTGACAGTGGGACTACATTAGTGCATAGTGCCAGAATGTATACCAAGGTGTGGCCGGAGGAGCAGTGTGGACACCTGTAGAAAGGCTGGTGCCACCGAGGTCATCTTAAAGCAGTAATGCACCTGCTCTTTGGAGTGTGCTTGGGAAGAAAAAGGTTGGCTTCAGCAGTAGCGAGGTGTGCATTCTCCAGCCATCCTGAGGCTGAGTCGAGCTGTTCTTGAAGTCAGGACAGCACATTCAGCTGTGACGTTCTGATTCCAATGACAGTATTCAGGAATCAGAATCCTGTCTATTAGACTGGACAGCTTGTGGCAAGTTAATTTGCCTGTAACAAGCCAGAATTTTTTATTAATATTGTAAATATTGTGAAGATATATATATATTTGTACAGTTATCTAAGTTAATTTAAATTTGTTTGTGCCTTTTTTGTTTCTGTTTTTAATGCTTAGATATTTCAAATGTTAGCCTCTGAATACCATAGGTAGGACAGAAAGCTTGTCTGATAATTCAGAGCCTGAAGTGAACACTCGATGGATATCGTAATCAGCGAGACCGTCCATCCAAAGAGACGGCTTGCTGAAGGTGAGGCCACAGAGTCCCTGGATGCAGGGAATGTGGCAGCCTCACTTTGCGTGAATAAAGGTCCTTTATTCCGAAATGACTAGTTCTACACAGCTGGTCAGTCTTCCACCTGGAAGCATCTGTTTGTACTTTGACTATGACTGTTTTTCGGACAGTTTATTTGTGGAGAGTATGACCAAAAGTTACATGTTTGCACCTTTCTAGTTGAAATAAAGTATATATTTTTTCTATAAAGAGCTTAGCTATTCATTTATTCTTGTAAAGGTTTCTGGATTTTCTTGGATATAAATGGGAACTTTTTGTTTATCATAAAGTAATTTACCCATAGTTCCTAAATACCTTTAAAAATACATAATAAATCAATAGAATTTTATGTAAGTAACACCGCACACCAGAATCAAAGGTCACACACTAGCAAGCATTCTCTTCACAGTATTTTAAGAACACTTTAGGGGCTGGGGATTTAGCTCAATGGTTCTGGCATCTGCCTCACAAGTACAGGGTCCCGAGTTCGATTCCGGTACCAAAAGAAAACTTTAAATTTAATTATCTGTGGATGAATTCACTTTCCACTGACCCTATGGCATTAGACCTGGTCTTTTTAGATCTTTGGCCATTGTAGGCACATTTCCAGCTCTCATATCACAAATTAGTCTGTACCTTGTATATAGAAAATGTTTAAATACTGTGTTTTCTTAATGTCTACACTGTAGGTCTGGAAATATATATTCACCTGGGGCCATTTAATAAGTTTCTGCATAATTCTGCTTCCAGTGGCCATGGTAATCAATGGCAAATGATGATATAAACAGAAAACAGAAGAAAAGCCAGTCTTCCACTCAATAGAAATGTCTTTATTTGTTCCTTCATTTTCCCAAATCTTGGCTTTATTAGACCTCAACATTAATGTACCCTGTTACCAAGTGGTTTATAAGTGATAAATGTAGCTGTTCAAGATCCCTGGTGTGGAGTCTATTGGACCTACCCAGTCTATTGGACCTGAAAAGTGAGCAGAAGTGAATGACAAAAGAAACACTCCCAGGGCAACAAGAAGCCAAATTTTTTCCAGATGACAATAGCTTTGGATTCCCAGTGGGGGCGGGGGCATTGCAGACAGACTAACCTGTCCCAGGATAATTAGCAATGCTGTAGTCATTCTGAGAGGCAAAAATACACCTGAAAATAATGGCTAGTCTACACACTGCATACCACAAACAGAACAGCTTCTGCTCCAAATGCAAAGAGCACTTCTGGTCATAACAGTGGGCTCTTGACACACCCATGTGTGTGTAGGGCAACACTGTTAGAAGCTAAAGCGCTTCACAGCTGAATAAACACATGCGCACGTGTACACACAGTACACGGTTAGTTCACATTTTCTGTCAATGGATCCCTGGCTGCAAAGAGAAAGGGCCATAGCAAATAAGCCTCACTGTTCTGAAAGGAATCAAAATTCTGGAAAACAGAAGCAATAGTGGAAGCATGGAGTTCACATTTTCCAAATGCACACACACACACACACACACACACACGTAACTAGATTGTGTATCCAAATTCCCATGAGCAATATTTGTATCAAAATTGAGAACAGAACACCTCTTTACGCCCAAAATATGGATGGAAACAAATCACTCCCCCCCCACAAGGCCTCCCAAGCAGAGGAGCAAGAGGAACCAGGTGTTTCTGAGGCAGAGAGCTGCGAAGGGTGCAGAGGCCTCGCTGAATATAGGCAGCCCATCTGACAGCAGGGCGGAAACTGGTGGGAATTCTGGCCTCTCCAACAAAATCAACAGGCCAGGGCTTCTTTGCAAGAGAGGACACCCACACTGAGGAATGGAAGCAAAACTGAGTGGGTCAGGGAGAGAAAGACACTGAGAGAAGGTTCAGATAAAAATGAGAACAGAGGATCAAAGACTCTGGAAGTAAAACGCCATCCTTTTAATACTGCATGAAAACATCCGAAGTGTGGGCTCATTAAATTTTAAAAGCTATCTACTGCCAAGTTTCCTTGTTTCTCTCCAGTATCTATTTTTCTTAGTGTATATCAATTATACAGGATACTGGATAATTTTTTGTCATGGATAATATTTTGTCATGGTATCTTCATATATGTATTTCATATTTCATATATAGAAGACTATGTATAAAATATATTTCATATATAAAAGACTAATTTCATATAAGTTAGGAAAACAAAATTATCAAAGCCAAGTCTCATAGAAAGTTATTATATGAAAAAAAAGGAAAATAGAGGGCAGAATAGTATCCCTACAGATAAGAAAAACATGCAAGAAATGCATGCCCATAAAACACCAAAACTTCCTCATTCAAAAGATCATTAAGAAAATGGCATTATACACAAACAATAAGGAAACAATTAATGACACAAAATAACAACATGAGACTTGCCAAAACTTAGAAACATGGTGAAAGAATTAGGAATAAATATATATATCCAACTAGAAGGAACACGGGAATGAATACGCACAACAGATGGAAGGAAATTTTTTTCAAGGAAGAAATAAAAATGTTTCAAGAAAAAGTGACTGTAGATAGGCAAAGAAGATCCAATATATTTATAGTAGAAGTTATTGAAGGAAAAAATCTATAAATCAAGGAAACTACTGAAATAAAAAAAAATTTAAAAGCACATAGTGAGAGCTGGGCATGATGGTACATGCCTGTAATCCCTGCACTCAGGAGGCTGAGGCAGGAGGATTGCCACAAAGTTAAGAGGCCAGCCTGGGCTCCATGGTGAGTTCAAGGTCAGCTTGAACTACACAATGAGACCCTGTCTCAAAAAAAAAATTTTTTTTAAAGCACAGAATGAAAAACATATCGTGTACTGAATAAAATCTACCAACACAAGTCCATGTTCTAGTAAATTTGCTAGTATTTAAAGAAAAAGGAAAACACGCCTGTACATGTAGGCAAAAAGAACATGAGCCGTATAAGTAAAAAGAAAATTAGCTCATTGTCAGATTTTTTTTTTTGTAGGGCAATACTTCATGCCAGGAAAAAAGTGGATTTACATATTTAAGAGAGTCAAGAAAAAAAATGTAACTCAAAGAATTTTTAGTCTCCAAAATAGATTTTCAAGAAAAAAGGACAAAAGCCAGGAGGGTTGAACACCTGTAATCCCAGCCTGAGGCAGGAGAATCATGAGTCCAAAATCAACCTGGGTAACATAGCAAGATCCTGCTCCCACACCCCAGAAAAGGAATAAAGGAGCAGCCAAACTGTTAACAACATATGAGAACTCGGCATACAGCTCCAGTTAACCCTTGCTGAGGAACTTACTAGTGAACAAGCTCCAACGCTAAAACTGTCTGAGAGATCTTAACATGAGGACTGGTCATGAGCATTGAAGATAACTATCTTTAGACCGCAAATGAAGGTTCAAAAGGAGAAAGCAGTGTGTACAATGTCCTCATCTCTCACAGCATACAGTACAGCCGGAAGCACTGCTTTGTTGGTAATGGTGGTATTAATGTTGTTATTCTAAGACTATTGAGTGCATAATGCAAGATTAAGGAAATTAACCACTACGAATACTCTAATTCTATCTCCAGTATACATCAGTGCTCACATGGGCTCCATAATATCGATTCTGTGATCCTGAATTTGAATACAAAGTATCAACATAAGGGCTGGGGATTTGGCTCAGTGGTTTCGCTGCCTGCTGCGCAAGCGCAAGGACCCGAGCTCGATCTCTGGTACCAAAAAAAACACAAAAAAAACACATAAAAGAAAGTATCAACATAAACTTATAATTTTATATTTAAAAAAATAATTTTCTGTACTCCCCCAAATTTTATTTAATGAATATGAATTACTTTATAATCAGAAAGATTTTTTAAAATAAATATTCCATCTCCGCATTAAAATATAGCAAAGAATATGCCCAAATTGTTAGTTTTCCTTGATTTTGGATTTTGATAAATATTGTACAATACATAATGAATAAATGTCTTAGCTCTATGAGCTACTATGTCTTAATTAGTCATATGCTGAGGAGAAAGTACAACACACATATAACCCCGATGGTATTCATATCCATGTATTCTCATATCCCGTTTTCCCATGCCATAAATGAAGTCATGGAAGGTTTTCTTCCACAAGTATATAACTATTCTGTACCTCATGAATCATAACAATTATATATAGACTGTTGCTAAGACTAAGGATAAAGTAAACAAAGTAAAATATATCCTTAAAATACTAAGATTCCAAATCTAAATTTAGGATCTAAAGCAATATATATGTAGACCCATCTTCTATATTAGATGTTGAAGACGGTCAGTGAAGAGTCAGTAAGAAATTAGTCTCACTGACTCACTGGAATTCACATCTCAAAAATATAAAACATGTTAAGACTTGCACTAGGTCAACACATCCTAGCACAATTTTTACCAGCCCAACTATTTATAATTTACACAAATACAAGGACCTGAGGGTATTTACTTAGCAATATTTACTAAAAGCTACATATAGCTACCTATAACATAGCAAACTTTTACACACACACTCTCTCTCTCTATATATATATATGTAAAATTCACATACAAAATTTTTATAGTTTTATCCTTCCAATCCAACCGTCTACCAATAGGAGAAGGTACTGAGTGTGGAATTTTTATGCAATGGAATACTACACATCAGTAACAAAGCACTATTATTATGTTGATCAAAGAAACCAGGTGGAAATTAGTATACACAGAACAATTTCATCTATATGACACTGAAGAATAGACAAAATTAATCAACAGTGATAGAAGTCAGAGTAGTGGTTACTTTGGAGATAGGAGAATAAGAGAACTTGAACCACATTAATAAATATATATATTTCAATTTTAAAGCTTAAAAATTATATAAATGCATTCAATCATTTTTTAGAATTTTTTCACAACTTTATAAGAACTATCTTGGAGGGTATTTTAAATTTATATTTTATATTTTCAAAATTATTTACAAATTAGTTAATATTTAGAAAACTCATTTTTAATATTTCAGGTGATGAGTTCCTGAAAAATTATTCATAGCACATATATCAAGTTTTATGGCATAATTAACCACAACACCATCTGTGTGGAAATGAGATAGACCATTTAATTAGGGTAGAAACCCAAAGCCGGAAGTACCTATGAGAAGAAAGTCCCTAAAAACGAACAAATAACTTAGGGAGGCACTGGATTTTCCCTTTAACATTCATGGACTTACACCAATTTTTATTT